CCAAGGGACTTGTGGGACAAGCATATGCCCTAATCAGATAGATCGGATGAACATCCCAGTTCCATCATATTCACGATCACAACTGAAAAAGCAACGAGATCGTGGTGCCGCGGTACTGTATTAAACTCAATGACCGAAGTTCCCGGGTTCGAATCTCAAATCTCACCCAACGTTTCGAAATCCGTCGCAAATCCTTTATAAGATACACTAGCAGAAAACTTTTTTACTCATTTAATAATGCTTACAAAGACTGGAAGATAATTCTAAATCCAAAAGGCTAAATTGTGCTGTTTTGCAATAAAAGTTCAGCAATCGGGCTCTGCTACATTCAGTTATGAGAAGAACATCAAGGCTATGTCTTTTTCATTAATTTTACTGCTCGTTTTCCAAAACAGGTTTGACAAATCGGGAAAGTGGCAAATACAGACAAACTATTGAGTACTTTCAGCGTGAGGAATCGTTTCATCAGCACACTGTGAACAATCTTCAGCATCGTCTTGATCTTAATGAGGTAGAAATCAGCCGACTAAGACAGGCGTTCCAAGGTTTCCAGACTGGTGACAGCTTCTCGGCGGATGAAAGCATCTACAATGAGAGGCATAACCCAAGCCTACCAGTATTGGGATTGGACTTATCGTTTGCAGATGCCTCTTGTCAACGACTACCACCATTAAATGAAACGTTCACTCTCTCCCAGGCCCACTTTCCTCCATTCGCTGTAACACAAGCGAATAATGTTTCTCCGCCGGATGATAAATCCCAGATTCGGCGCCCTAACTGTCAGAGCGATTTTCGAGGTACATTCCATCAGTGTTTGTAAAACATATTAGGCTTTTAACGTACAAACCATGCAGTGGATGATAAGCAAGAATGCAATGACTCCGTTAGAGCTGTTTTGTTTTTGTTAGCTAACTATTCCTCAGTCTCATGCATGGATGAACCCGAAACGTGTACCTGTCCCCTTCGGTCCTGGATCGTCAGGGCTTGTCCCGTCGGTTGTGATCGGCCATAAAAAGGTGAAACTTCACTTCACTCATTGCGTTTTGTCGAGAAAAAGCGCATAGAGTACATAGAAAAACAAAAATGGGCTGGACTGAACAGCTCACGCCTAGCTTATCTGCTTTCACTGGTCAGCCCTACTCTGGGTCGGAGCCTTGGAAAAAAATCGAAATCGAATTCGGTTTCTTTGGTCGACAAAGATAAATATCAACGCTCCACCATTAAGCTACGGGTCCATGCCCTCTTGTACCCACAATCTTAAATATTAACAAACAAAATGGAACGCGTAAGGTCTTCCCACAATCCCATTATTTATAGAATGCTTGTACAGATCAGATCAGTTTTTGGCAACAGTAGTTTAAGTTGGGCACCTCATGTAGCCCCAGTCCCGGCATTTTGTCATGCAGAAGCTGTGGTTATAGGGCTTTCATGGATGGGAAATTAGGATAGGCAGTAGAATATACTTTAAGTACTACATGCATTTTTATTTTACTGTTTTTAGAAATTGTTTTGATTTATATCTGTAGATCTACCTCATCTGTATTATCGTTTAACGTATTGCGGAAAAACCGGATTATCAAAATACAAGTTTCTTGAAATTCCTGAAAAATAGAAATGGTGTTAAGAAGGTCGCCTGCTTAAACTTACCTGAGGTACAGATTACCGATCTGGAGTTAAATTGATATAGTCTGCGGCGCGAAGCGCCGCGTACATCGGCAATTTACATCCGGAACAACTTACTCCCAGCGGCCGCGGGAAACAAATCCAACTACATTTTTCCACTTTGCGCTTACTTCTGCAAATTTCTGCCACCGCCTATGCTATTTTCCCACCCACAATACCCCTTTAACCACAGGGACCAGGGGTATATGACGTGCACGACTTAAACTACCTTTGCCCAGTTTTCTTATCAAACAGATTATGCACCAAATTGCCTTTTACTTAGAAGGATGCTTTTGAGTTATGTTAAACTGCAATCCTGTGATTAGTGTGTGCATTCCGCCAGCTTATTGGAAGCAAGTGTGTTGTGTAATTCCAGTTACGAAGTTTCTAATTTGCGAATCCGGCGTTTGTGGGCCTTGACAACCGCATTGGTTGACTCTTTGCAGTCGCACCTGCAATTATCTTGGCAAAATCCCCCCGCCTAAACGGTTATTTTTGGTGTCTGTGCTTCAGGCGTGCACTGCCACTTGCCCTTCGTGCAGTGGACAAATGCAAAATTGTTCAACTTTATGGCATACGACGTTTTACTTTTCAATTTCCTCTAGAACTGAACGGGGTACAAAATCTGGCATATGAAGGCGAATTGGGAACAGAGGCTGAAGAGCGCGAACTGCATCGGCGCCTGGAGCAGTGTGGCAATTGGGTACAAAAGTGCACTCCAAATGAGGTAACTGCACTTTTCCTGAGGTTTTTTCCTCTTAACACGGGTCGTGTCCCTCATTTAAATCAACAGAAGACACGCCAACGTTCTCAAATGATCTGATCTCTTATGGAATATGTTTTACGATTATATCTTATTTAATCACCAAGTCACCGCTAGCTCCCCCAAAGTGCCACTTTATTTTTTAGAAAGAGAAACGTAAAGAACGTGTCATTGGTAACGTTATCGGCTGCTAACTCCTTCCACTAAGAAAAATGTGTCGATACTTTAACCACCATGTTTTGACAGACAGACAGCCTCCGGATCTCTTCTATTTTGCCCGAAAATCACTAGACGGCCAGTACTGTTGGCGGAATTTCAGTACTCTTTCGCTTGAAAATATTAACAGGGGAATTTTAAAGTTGAACGGGGAAGAAACTAATGGAAAATCCTTCTCTCGTTTATGAACGCTCATCGATCGTCAATGGAACTCACTCGTCCCGTTCTGCCTTGGGGCTCACTTTCGAGCCCCACCAGTAGCCGCTTACCGGCTAGCACAGAATAAAATTACTGGCAATGACAAGAGACACTTGAACGACCGTTTCGGTCTTCTTGGATCTCATCAGCCAGCCATACCCAGCCACAGGCGGTGGACCACCCAAAGCGCGAACCCATGACCTGTTGTTCAAAAGTATAACGCTCTCACTGTTGAGTCTTTCCGGTTTAGAGTGAAATATTGCCATTCGTTGATGAGCCCTCAGCGATCGCTAACGAAACTCACTTGTCCCATGTTGCCTCAGGGCTCACTATCGAGTCCCGCCAGCAGCCGCACAGCGGTTAGTAGTATCGGCAAATTTACATTCCTTGGTTGGACAGGGAAAAATATACGCTTGCCGCGTGACCAATGGCCGTGTGCTTAATTTTGGGACGATACCTATTGCCGTGTCTCATGTAGGCTGTCCTC